TCTGAAAATCAATAGGGGGAAAAATGTTTTTCCTAATGTTTTGAGAAATACCAATTAAAGATAAAAATCTTTAACGGTTACATCTTAGGACCAAACCAATTATACAGAAATACAGAGAATAGGTCACTGGCCTTGCATACAGCCAACCTGGGTTTGATCCTGGTACCACTTATGGTCCCTGAACCCGTCCAAGAGTGATCCCTGAGCACAGAGCCAGGAGTGAGCCCTGAGCACTGCCAGGTGTGACCCCCAAACAAAAACACGAACAAGAAAATCTGACAGCAGCTGAAGAACATGGGACTGGAAAGGATTTTCCAGATCTGAAACTCCCGCGTGTTTCTAATCCAGGAGCATATTTATCAAATGAGAGGAAAGTCTGGAGGAAACCATGGAGGGACTAAAGACAGGGGGCGGGGGGTGGAGGGGAACCAGTGGATGAACTCTGGTCTCTGGGGAACCAAGCGGGGCTGAAGTCCACTGAGAGCGCGCCCAGAACTCAGGGCGTTTCTTTGCTGGCACTGACAAGCAGGAGGCGCTGCTGGGGCCTTCCCTCCGGCCACAGACCACCCCAGGGCCCTGTCCAGAGCTTTGGTCCAGTTTGGAATAAAACTCCCAGAAAGCAGGGAGGTGAAGGAAGAGGCATGGTCACCGGACAGGAGGAGACCCTGGCACTAAAGGAGAGGAGGGGGACCACAGGGAATAGCACAGTGGGGAGGGTGTTTGCTTTGCATGAGGCCAACCCAAGTTGGATGCCCGCCATCTAATATGGTCCCCTGAGCACTGCCAGGAGTGATCCCTGAGCATCCCCAGATGTGACCCAAGACAAAAACATAAAAGAAAGAGGAGCAGAGAAGCAGAAGCAGATTGTGGGGTGCAAGGAGGCCCTTGGAACATCCACATTCTGGAGGTGGAATCCAGAGCTGGTAGCTGGGCTTGGGGGGGGGGGGGGACACGAAGGACAGGTGGCCACTGAGGACTCAGCCACGAACTCTGCATGTTGGAGCCTGGGTTTGATTTCCAGCATAGCCAGGACTGCCCCAAGCACTGTGGGGAGTAGCTTCCACGCTTTTGGGGGGAGCCTACACATCCTCCCAAAAATAGCAGTATGGTCCTTCAGAGCAAGGGTCAGCGAATGACTAAAACCCTGGACCAGACACTGCAGCAGGAAGAGATGCTGGGGCTGGAGCAATAGCACAGCGGATAGGGCGTCTGCCTTGCACGCGGCCGACCCAGGTTCGATTCCCAGCATCCCATATGGTCCCCTGAGCACCGCCAGGGGTAATTCCTGAGTGCAGAGCCAGAAGTGACCCCTGAGCATCGCTGGGTGTGACCCAAAAAGCAAAAAAAAATTAAAAAAAAAAAAGCAGAGAACTGTCCCCAAGCAGGTAAAATGGGTCTGGACTGTGAGGATAAAGCGGGGCATGGGGTTCAGGGGTGCCACATGGCCAGGCAAGATTCAGGGTGTCTGGGAAAGGTCAGGAGGCCAGGTCCTGTACGAAGGGGCTCTGGTACGGGGCCCCCCAAATGGAGTGGGGTGAGGGTGGGGATGACTAGAGCAGAGAAGACTCGAGGAGGAGGTGACCCCAGCTCCGGCCTCGGCAGCAGTGGTCCTGGTGGTCTCCCAAAGGCGTGCCCAGGGTCACGGAGACAAGAGCTACCCAGTGTGAGCAGAGAGAGAGGCAGAGCCCAGGCCAGCATGGGGCAAGGCTGCTCGCTGTCTACAAGCAAGGTCAGCCAAAGCTAAGCCAGTCCGAGGTCCCAGGGATGGAAGGTTCCAGTCTCCTCGGACTTTTGAGGGGGACGGAAGGGGCACATCTGGCTGTGCCTAGGGCTTGCTCCAGACTCTGCACTCAAGAGTCACTCTTGGTGGGGCTCAGGGAACCATAAGGGGTGCCGGGGATCCAACCTGCGTTGGCTGTGTGCAAGGCAAACACCCTCCCCACTGTACTGTCTCTCTGGCCCCAGGCTCTTTGGACCTATTTCAGCATAGGTTGTTTCCTTGTGTACATGTGAGAGAGACAGACAGACACTGAGAGAAAGAGAGACAGAGATAGAGAGAAAGATACAGGAAGATAGAAATAAAAAGAGAAACGGGGGAGAGGAAAGAGATGGAGACAGAGAGAGGAAAAGAACAGTGGCTGACTTCTGAAAACCAAAATTCTTTTTTTGGCTTTATGGGTCACACCAGCGGTGCTCAGGGGTGACTCTTGGCTCTGCATGCAGGAATCATCCCTGGTGGTGCTCAGGGGACCAGACCTGGGTCAGTTGCATGCAAGGTAAACGACCTACCCACTGTACAATTGCTCCAGCCCACAAAACCAAAATTCTTGAACACCAAAATGGGAGAACAACAACTTGCTTTTCTTTCTTTCTTTCTTTTCTTTTTTTTTTTTTTTTTTTTTTTGCTTTTTGGGTCACACCCAGCGGTGCGCAGGGATTATTCCTGGCTCTGCACCTCTGCACTCAGGAATTACTCCTGGAGATGCTCAGGGGACCTTATAGGATGCTGGGAATCGAACATGGGTCAGCCGCGTGCAAGGCAAATGCCCTACCCACGGTGCTATCGCTCCAGCCCCAGCAACTTGCTTTTCAAGTGAAAGTCTTTCATAAGTTGGGGGTTAGTGGAGGAAGCTACAAGGTCTGTCCGTCATCCCCCCACCAATACAGGATGAAGGAAGCACCTCTTTGGCAGCTATAAGGCAGCAAAAGCTTCCTGAACTGAGGAAGCTGTTCTTCCAACAAAACTGAGACGTGGTTGGCTCTCTGAGGAGAGTGTGGTGCTGAACAGAGAGAACTGGCCTGGGCCTGGTTCCAGGACCCTTTGCATACATGCCCATTCTTCTCCCTGGACAGCCCGTGCCAGCCTGCAGAGCCCCCATACTAGGAAAGACACATCCCCCTGACTTCACTTCCTTTTACCCCCATAATCACAGACTATGACTCATCCTCATTAAACAGCCGCTGCAGCACTGGCCGCCCGACGGCATGGCCAGTAGCCCCTGTGCACAGCCTTCAGGGCCATGAACTGGCTACAAACCTGCCCAATTCCTTTTGCTTCTCACCACCAGACACACCTGCTGACACTCACTGCATGTGAGGGCCCCCTTGCCTGCTGTGCCCTGAATGAGAGCTACTCTTTCTCACTTCCCAAGACGTCCCGCCCTGCACCCACTCCCCGCATCAGGCACCCTCGCTCTGCTCCACCTTCTCCAGAGCACCATAAAGCCACCCTCTCCCCTAGACCTGTGTGTTCCCCGGGGCAGGCGAGGAGCCTCCGGTATGCCAGCCAGCCCAAGTCCACGGCTGCTGTCCCCTACTGTTCCCGCGAGAGCCCCAGTCCCTCCAGGAAATCCGAAGCTGCAGCCACCACAGAGGAGAAAATGCAGCCTGGACGGGCCAGAGGGTACAGGAAGAAGGAAGCAGGGCAGAGAGGAAGGGGAGAACTGCGTGGAAGGAAGGTCGCTCTCAAGCTGAACAGGCATCCCTCAAGGGAGGTCAGTACTTAGGCCTATTACTTCATCCCTAGAGAACAGTGCTGGCAAAGAAATGTCCAGGGAGAGGAACCAATTCGTTTGGAGCTGTCCGGCCTGCAGGGTCCAACCACCGGCTGCTGAGCCCCAGTTCAAGCCCCCCTTCCAGGACCCCGTTAACTCTCCATGGCATCCTGGCTAAACCCAAGTCTAGTCCCAGTTTGCTCCTAGGAAGCCTAAAAGTCTCAATTCAATCTTAACAAGACTTGTGGAGGGGCCAGAGAAACAGTCCAGTGGGTAGGGCATTTGCCTTGCAAGTGGCTGACCCAGGCTGGATTTGCAGCATCCCATGTGGACCCAGAACCGGGCCAGAATGATCCCTGGGTGCAGAGCCAGGAATAAGCCTTGAACACCGCTGGGTGTGGCCCATGCCCCCCCCCAATAAAAACACAACAAAAATAGAACAAGACTTGTGTAGCCCCCCAAATATCTCTCCACCAGTCATGCCCCTGCAAAAAAAGTCTCTCCTGACCTGGATAGATGCTGGACACTGTTTATCCTCGCCAGGAGTCCAGAAGAACTGAACCTGAGCACAGCCAGGTGTCCTCTGGTGCCCCCGCCCCCAAATAACAGTCCGTCTGAGTCCTCCTCAATAAGGACAGTACAGGGCCCGGCTCAGGGGAGGGGACGCCTCTGCTTAATTCGCGGCTACCGACCTCTGCCCAGACCACTCCCCTGGCCCGCCCTCTCCGCCTCTCCAGCCACCCGAACCTCACCTCCTCCAGGAAGTCTCCCAGCCTCTCACGTCTGCCTCCAGTGTCCCTAGGAAGGCCGGCCAAGCGCTCTCAGATCTCTCCCCAGCCCCAAGCTGGGGCCTTACCGGTTTGAACCGCCTGAGAGGATGAATTCTCAGTGCGAGTCTCCGCTGGGCTCCCCGAAAGTCCAGCGGGGCAACTCCCGGGGCAGGTACCGGGAGGAGCCCCCCCAGCACCTCATCCCCATCCTCCTGACTGATGCAGCCAGGACCATCCGGCGCCCCCCAAGCGGCGCGGGGGATGGGGGCTCGGGTCTGGGCGCCCCTCCCCCGCCTCCCGGAGACGGCGCAGCCCGGCCAGTCAAAGGTCGGGCGGCCGTGTCCACCTGCAACCGCCTCCCAGGAGCAAGCACCCAGGGGTGGCCCCAGCGACCGACCCCAATCCCGGGCCGCGCGCGCCAGCCTCGGGAGAAGGAGGCCGTTTCCAGGGGATGCCAGGTGGGGCCGGGGGTGGGGGCGGGGGCGCCCGAGGCCCGGGCTCGGGAATCAGGGCTCTGACGTCATCGAGACCCGGGGGCCGGGGCCCGGGCCGGGGCCGGCTGCGGGCTGGGAAGGGCGTTTGCGGGGCGCCCCCGGGAGCGCATCCCCGGCCCGGAGCAGGTAAGGTCACCCCGCCTGCCCAGCGCCCCCGCGCCTGGGCCTGCCCGCCGCCCCCCCGCGACCCCGCCCCGGCCCTGCGCCCAGCCCCCCGCCCACCCTGCAGGACCCCCACTCACCGGCCGCTGGAGCTGGCCGGCCCGGAGGCACCGCGCCGCGCTGCGCTGCACCGGCCGATGCGGCGCCGAGCCCGCGGCCGAGCGCTCCGGGGCTGCGTGCACGCGCGCGCGCCCGGCCCGGCCCGCGCGCTCCCGCCCGCCCCGCGCGCCCGGCCGGGCCTGCAGCAGCCGCTCTCGCGAGACTCCGAGCGGGGGGCCCGCTCGCCCCCGCCGGAGCTGCTGTCCGAGGTGCTAGGTCCCCGGGCCCGGCCCGGCGCGTGGGTCCGGGCGCCCGCGGGACCAGACCTCGGTGGGGGCGTGAAGGAGGAGACCGAGCACTGGGAGTGGAGTCAGTGACCGGCAGCTGGGCCCTCGGCTTCCAGATCTGTCAACTGGGGCGAATGAATGCGGGCCACTGGGGGCTTCCCGGGAGGAAGGAGGAGCCTCGGGGGCTGCCGAGCTAACGACTGATGAAGAAGATCCTTCTGCTCCACCAGTCTCAAGCGACACAGAGCCTCAGAGATATAGCACACGGCCGAGTCTCTTGCCTTGCACGCAGCAGGCCCGGGTGCAATCCCCAGGACCTCTCCAGGTGCAATCTCCAGGACCCCTGAGCACAGAGCCAGGAGTAAACCTGCAGGGTGTGCCCCACAAATAAAAAGTCAAACTTAAAAATGCAACTCAGAGGGGCTGGAGCGACAGCACAGCGGGTAGGGCGTTTGCCTTGCACGCGGCAGACCCGGGTTCGATTCCCAGCATGCCATATGGTCCCCCCAGCACACCCAAGACTAATTCCTGAGTGCAGAGCCAGGAGTAACCCCTGTGCATCGTCAGGTGTGACCCCCCAAAAAAATTTTTTAAATGACACAGAGCTGGATAGTATAAAAGTGTTCAGGTGCTTGTCTTACACTCAGCCAACCCACTTCAATCCCCAGCATGGCACCTGGTCCCCTGAGCACCACCAGGAGTAAGTGATCCTGAGTTTCAGAGCCTGGAGTAAACCCTGAGCATTACCAGATATAACCCACAGACAAAAAAAATTTTTAAAGCAACACAGAACCAGAGAGAACACAGGGTTCAGGCTCTTGTTTTATCTGAGTTTGATCCCCGGCACACCGTATGGTCCCTGGGCATGATCAAGAGTGATCCGTGAGCACAGAACTAGGAATATGCCCTAAGCACCACTGGATGTGGCCCCCAAACCAAAAAATAAAAGCTCAGAGCTAGTGAAGATTGAGAGGGCCACGAGGAAGGGTGGGCCGGGGTAAGACAGGCTCTGACTGAGTCTGTGCATTGTAAACTCTTGTGGATTCTCTGCAGCCAGGGCCACCCTCTGCACTGCCAGCCCAGGGCTCGGGTGCTCCACCATGCCCTCTGCCCACACCATCCCCGGCCTGGAGGAGCCTCTGTGGGCAGGAGACACTGCATGGATTCTTCGCCCCGAATAAAGGCCCATTGTCTGATGCCAGCCTGCTGGCAGTGGGGCCTCACACCCACAGCTGAGAGAGAAAGAGAGCAAAAAAAGGCAGGCAGAGACCAAGGAATGGAGAGAGCCAGTGCAGAGCAGCTCTGAGCTATGGAGGCTTGAGTAGGGAATGACGGAGCCATCAGGAGAAGTCTCAGGGGCTCCAGAGCAAACCAGGGGGTCCTGAAGTTGGTCCTGCTCCTGGTTGTCCCAGAGTTGCTGCTGTCTGTCCACACTAGCAGGCAAGCTGGAGCTAGTGCCAAGGATGAGCAGAGCATCCAGGAGGCAAAGGTCGGGTACCTGCAGAGGGGCGTCATGCTGGAGCCCCCAAAAGGCCGCAGAACTGGTACAGTGCTTCCCAGGAGCCCTCAGCACAGGGGTCTGCAGTCTGGAATTTACTTCAGGGCCCATATCTTTCACAGTTCCTCCAGAAGAAAGTTATGGGCTCCCATCCACCAGCTGCAGACCCCATTTCCCCGGGCAGGAGAATCAGGGCTGTCCGGCTAACTACGGAAGCAGCCCAGACCATCATGTCTTCAAAGGTTTGGTTAGTGGAAGAGGAAAAATGCTGTCAATGCTGATCATCGTTTGGTTTTTGTTTGGGGTCACACCCAGCAGTGCTCAGGGTTTACTCCTCACTGCACTCAGGAATCACTACAGGTGGGTTCAGTAGAGCTTTGGAGCACCGGGGATTAAACCTAGGTCAGCTGACACAAGGCAAGTGCTTTACACACTGTCCTATCTCTCTGGCCTCTGAAAAGAAGTCTGCTTTGGTGGGGGTGGCTGGTTTTGGTTTTGATTTTGGGTTTGGAGGCCACATGCGGCAGTGCTCAGGGGTTACTCCTGGCTCCGCACTCACGAGTCACTCCCGGTGGTACTTGGGGGACCGTATGGGATGCTGGGAGCCAACTGGATTGGCAAATGCCCCAGCCACTGCACTCTTGCTCCGGCCTCAGAAAGAGAAGTTTGTTTAAATGATTATCACAGGGCTTGTCTTGCAGGCAGCCTATCCCTTTCAATCTCCAGCACCCCATAAAGTCCTCAGTGCCCCGCCAGGAATGATCCCTGAGCACAAAGTCAGGAGAAAGCCCTGAGAACCACCAGGTAAGGCCCCAAAACCAAACACTCTGCCCACAGCACTATCACTCAGGTCCCCCAAAATAAATAACGTTGAGCCTTAGAAGACATATTCTTCCTGCCCCTTCCCAGACACCTAAGCTTGGGCAAACATTCCTCCTTACTCAGCCTGCATTTTCCACCCGGCACACCCACGAAATAAAACAAATGAACACGTGTAACCCAGGGGACATTGCTTGGTACCCAGCAAATATTTAGTAAGTGCCAGATCAGCCTCTGTGCCAGGCACCGGGAGTCTGTCCTTTTGTTGTTATTCTGTTGTTCATAGTGTTCGGCAGGCCACCAAGGTCACACCCAGTGGCCCTCGGGGTCTCCAGTTCTGCCCCCTACTCTACCCAGCAGTTTGGGGGCCACTGATCAAACCCAGGGTCTCACTGGTAAAGCGTTGCTCTTCCCTGGAGCGGCACCCTTGACCCCTGGGAACTTGCCCTTTTCTGGAGAGACAGGGGAAAGCCTGAGTGACAATGAAAGCTGAGAAAATTCCATAAGGCTTCTCAGGTGTGATAGATGTCGCCCGTTTCCATGCCCTTCGCCAAGGCGTGTCATATGCCCAGTGCATGGGAGAGGAAGTCACGCTCTCTGAGAGGACCCAGGGTCTGAGAGCTTTGGGGATGTTTAGACATCCCGTAATGAGGGAGCAGGTCAAAGGTGTCCTCAAATGGTCCAGCAGTCAGCTCCCAGCTTCTCTGATGAGCTGGGGTCCATGGGAGACCACCCAGGGCCAGTTTACAGCCAGAACGAAAAAGTGTGAGGCCAGAGAGATGGCAGAGGGATAAGGCACTTGCTTTACACAGGTTTAATTCCCAGAATTCTGCAGGATCCCCAAGCACCATCAGGAGTGATGGCTAAGCACAGAGCCAGGAGTAAACCCTGGGCACCGCTGGGTGTCCCAAAAACCAAGAAAAGAAAAAGAAAAAAAAAATAAGAAAAGGGAAGTAGTATTTATGGACAGACCCTAGTGTGTCTGAGTGAGATACTAAACCCAAGTGCTGTCAGAGCCAGAGTGATAATAAAGTAGGCAGGGCATTTGCCTTGCATGCGGCCAGCCCTGGTTCAATCCCCAGCGTCCCATATGGTCCCCCAAGCACCGCCAGAAGTAATTCCTGAGTGTAGAGCCAGGAGTAACCCCTGCGCATTGCCGGGTGTGACCCAAAAAGTTTTTAAAAATATTAAAAATATAAACCCTAAGTGTGGTTTATTCTCCGTTAGAGGAAAGCAAGGCTCCAAGAGATAAGGTGGTTTACACAGGAAATTGAATGGCTGCTTCCAAGACGTGGAAGAACCTGGATCTTTTGGCTGCACATACTCCAAGAAACAGGGTGGAGGAAGTTGAAATAAAGAAATGAAAGAATTCAATTCAGGGCACACTTTGTTCTGGAGTCACCAGCTCCCGTAGACAGCTATGGGGGCTACTCTTCCTTTATTTTATGGGATTGTCTGTCATTCAGTCTCTCTCTCTGTCTTCGTTTCTTAGTCTTTCTGTCTTTCTCATATTATTTTACTTTTTGTTTTGTTTTGGAACCACACCTGGTGTTGCTCAGGGCTTAGTCCTGGCTCTGTGCTCAGGGATCATCCCTGGTGGGGCTCAGGAGAACATAAGGGATGCCAGGGATCATACCTGGGTCTGCCACATGCAGGACAAGCACCCTATCCACTGTGCTATCTCTCTGACACTTTCTCATAAACCTTAAATTATTTACTAAGGAAAGAAAGAAAGGGGCTGGAGCAATAGCACAGCAGGTAGGGCGTTTGCCTTGCACGCAGCCAACCCGAGTTCGATTCCCAGCATCCCATATGGTCCCCCAAGCACCGCCAGGAGTAATTTCTGAGTGCAGAGCCAGGAGTAACCCCTTTGCATTGCTGGGTGTGACGCAAAAAGTAAGAAAGAAAGAAAGAAAGAAAGAAAGAAAGAGAAGAAAGAAAGAAAGAAAGAGAAGAAAAGAAATAAGAAAGAATGGAGGGAGGGAGGGTGGGAGGGAGGGATGGACGGGAAGAAACAAAGGAAGGAAATGAAGGAAGTCAAGAAAGAAAGAGGGGGGATTCAGGCTGTAATATGTTTGGGGCCAAGGCTTTTTTTTTTCAGTTTGCTTTTTGGTCACACCCAGCAGGTGTCCAGGCTCAGTCCCAGGCAGTTACTCCTGGCAGTGCCTGGGTGAGATCGGTGCTGGGAACTGAACCCAGGTCTCTCTCATGCAGAGCATGTCCTCTCTGTGATCTCTCAATGGCCAACAGGCTCCTTCTCTGGCCCGGGCAGGAAGACAGTGCATCATCCCTGCGGGGGCGTCTGGAGCAAGAGCCAAACGCACACAGTCCTCCCATCAGAGGAAGGAGGATGCCAAGAATTGAAGGCACTTCCGGTCTGCCCTCTGGGTTTTGTGGCGGGGGCGGGGGGTTCCCCATCAGTGCTCTGGGCACCACACAATGTCTGGGGTCCACACAGGGCTAGGGGCTGAATCCAGAGAGGGAGGATCCAGACACGGGAACCATCCCCTGGGTCCCACTAAGCAGTGAAAGCCCCCAGGCTGAAATTCCCCAGGGCTCGCCATTGGGGA